ATCTAAAACGACTCTCTCTCTCTCTCTCTCTCTCTCTCTCTCTCTAAATGTTTAACAGCTGCGAGCTGGACTTAAAATAGACCAAGGTTTTCGAAGGTTAGTCCTTAAATAATCCAAGTACAGAGTAACGGTCACTGTGGTGATTTTCCCGCAAAAATCACTGGCTTAATTATTATGAAATGTTCAAGTTCTTCTCTACCCACAATGGAAATCTCCTCCAAATCCTCAAATCCCAATTCAAAAACCAAAAATTCCATATGCACATTGCACATCTTCATAGCCCCAACAAAACCCTAATCACAAACGCCGCAATTCAATTTATCTTGGACGAGTTCAAAGAGCCCGAATCATCAATAGTTTCCGAACCAATAACCCAATTTGCACCCAAAAACAATGTACAAGTGAAACCAAACGGCATAAAAGAGACTGCTGCCGTTCAGATTTCGCATCCGTGGCCTGAATGGGTTGGGTTGATGGAAATGTTGATGAAAAAAGCGTATTTTGAAGGAATTGGAAATCCATTTTCGAATGGTGAAGTGGATGCGACGGGTTCAAATTTTATTCGTACTGCTTGTTTGAATTTCGCTCGTGAACGGTTTGATCTCATCAGGTAACAAGTGACTGAATTGAGTGGAATTTGCTTGGTTATGTGTTTTTATTGTGTTGGATTTGATTTTTTTTCCTTTGTTTTGTTGGTTGTATTGAGTTAAGCTATTAGTTTGAATCTTAGATTGAGTTTTGAATTCTTTGATAGTTGGATATTTTGTGTCTGCATAGAACTTGTTTGATATTGGACCTATGTGAGAGATTTGACTTTCTTTTGGGCAAATTTGGCTAGCATATGGCATGCGGTTAACAGCTAAATGTCAAATTTTACGAAAAGCGCAATGGAGTAGTTTGCCTGACCAAGGACTGTTTCAGGTGACTAAGATTGAGTGTGGTTTTCATTTCATGACTTCCATATTTTTTGTCTGGTGTGTGTTACAGTGGGCAGAACAGATTTTGTGCCTGTTTTGTTTGTTTGTGAACGCAATTGTGTCTAGGTTGTGGGTGGGAAGTGTTACTTTGCAACATTGTACTACCAGGTAAAACATAGGGTTAACCCTGGTAGGTGTTTTTAAGGAGGCAAAGGGGAGCAACCAAGTATGATGTGTTGATAGAGGAGTGCTCATTCCCATACCATTCCAATTGCATAGAACTTAATTTATGTATCCACTATACTAGTCTTATCCTCATTTTCTAAGGAATAGGATCAATTGGATGGACATATTTTTTGGGTTTACTTTGGTTTTGATTGTTCAAGGATAGATGATGGAAGTCAAACCCTGATGCCTACTCCTTAACAGCTCTACCCTTGCCACTGTACCAAGCCACCAGTCCTACTTGGAGAATCTTTACCATCTTTGCATTGAATTAGTTGAAGCCAATCACCGACTGCCTAGGATACATTAAGGGATATTTTTACACCTCACCTGTCCTTGGTGGGATCTCATCAATAACACAAACTTGGATCGTTTTGAAACTAACGGCTTTTTTATTTTATCAATTAAGATCACATTTACTAACACTTTGGAACTCTTTCATAGTGTTTACTCCTGAGGGCTTCTAGCCCTTATTCTTGTCAGCACTAGACCCTTAGTGTTTGCATGAATTAGATTTTCTTGAAGTTTGGTTCTTATTTTTCATATTATACCTTTTGCTACCAGGTACTTGTCTAGAAAAGATATTCAGGTGGTTGCAGAATCAGGATGTCCAAGCATAGATAGGAAAGTTGTCAACTCGGGGAAGCGTTTAAGGGCACATGTGGGCATTAATGAAGGAAATGTATGTGCTAAATAGATTTTTTATTGGGCCTATCAAACTAATAGTTATACATAAAAGTCATAATGGTACACATTCTTATATTTAACAACAGAAGAATTTTCGTAGGTTTGCAGCTCCTGCATTTTGAGGGGAAACTGTGAGAGGGCATATGTCAAGGCCTGTAAGGATGAAGGCGGGCGCACTGTGGATGTCATGCGCTTCTTATTAACATATGGGCTTGATCCCATTACTGGTTCAGTGGAGAACAAGCCTTGCTTAAACAAAAGGGTTAAGGAATCAGTTAGGAGGTTGCTGAAAGAAATGGTGGAGCTTAACACGGAAAAACTTGATGATTTCCCCAAAGCCATTCCCTCCAAATCGAATTCATCTATGCAAGAAATTTCAAGTCACAAAGGACAAAGTCAAATTAATGTTCCAATGAAGCAAGGCGATTGGATGTGCCCCAAGTAATTCGATGTCATATTCCTATTATGTTATAAATATTTTTCATCATTCTCATACGTATTCTCAGTTATTTTTTCTGCTTTTATTGTGGTAGATGCAATTTCCTTAATTTTGCTAGAAATATCAAGTGCTTGCGCTGCAATGGGTTATTCCAAGAAAGACTAAGAAAACTAAGTGAAGATCAGGATCATCTTCCATTAAAGAAGGGAGACTGGATATGTGACAAGTACTGTATCATTTGAATTGAATAATCTTGATCCTATTGTTATATATTCCTAATTGAGGCTTTTAACTACAGATGCAATTTTTTGAATTTTGCAAAGAATTCAAGATGTTTGCAGTGTCAAGAGAAGCCACCAAAGTGGCAACTAAATCCCGGGGAGTGGGAATGTGACTCGTGAGTTCATAGTACAAGTGTATTTTAACTTCTAAGAAACTTATTAGAAATCATTTCAAGTGGACTTATACCTTTTCGTTTTGTGTTGTGATCACAAGAGATGTGTTATTTTGCAGGTGTAACTACATCAATTTCAGAAAAAACATGGTATGCTTGAAATGTGATCATAGACGGCCAAAAGCATTAAAACCTACCGAAAATTCTGCTCAACTACTACATGATGCTGGTGATAATCATCATCCTCAGCCTTACTTTGTACGAGAGAGGCGTAGTGAAGAGGAAGGGGGTGGCAGGTGGAAATTCGTGGAGGATGAAGCTGAAGACACAGGTTGCTCTAAATCATTGAATGAGGTACCAGGGTTTGTTGATTTTCCCATTGCAGGAGGTAAGAGCAAATTGTCTCAAAATGTGCAAAAGCAAGAAAGATGGAAGACGGAAATGGCAGAAAGGAGTAGAAGCAGTGGTAAGGCAAGGGAAAATGTTGATGAATTTAAGTCTGCCTTCATGCAGAAAAGTTGCAAGTTTCTGGAGTCCACTGATGATGAAGAAATGGCTGAGTGGTTTGGGCATGCAAAGGACCCATTATAGAAAGCATTGTATTTGAACCATAAATTTCCAAACAATGATTCAACAGTAATAGAGCAGCAACCTAGTAGTTGAATTGGTTTGCCCTCACCCTATGTAAGGGGATTCTATAGCCCCCAGTTTCCATGAAAAAAAAGGATGCTCATTGAATGAATCTCTACTTATATGACCCCGGATATTCAATTAGATTATTACATTTGTTATCTGGTCTGCTATAAAAAGGGGCTTCATTTATGTTGGTCTTTTACAGGTGATTTGTTTAGGATGCTACCGTTGCTTCTGACCTCTCTCTCTCTCTCTCTCTCAAGTAGCCCCAATAGCATGAAAGAGACAAAAAGAATGACACAAGTCGGGAAATAGTCTAAAATAAGGGCAGGATAGAGTCCCCAGAGAGAGCCATGGGATCAATTCTTGCCTCTGAAAATGCTTGTCCCTATTTGCCTAGCTACTAGGAGGAAGGCAACTAAGCAAGTGAAGACAGAAACTACAGCGGGTAAGTGCATCAATTCTTGTTATCGATTGCCGCTTTCTTCTCTGGCTTCTTTCAACAATTAACTCCGATAAGTGCATCGGTTCTTGTTAGCGATTGCCACTTTCTTCTCTGGGTTTCTTTCAACAGTTAACTCCTTCATGCCCCTAGCAGACATATAATACATTCTTACCTATTCTAGTTTATTACCTTCAAGATCATTTCCTTGTTAGGAGTGACCAATTAGATTAGACTTTCTTGATTCAGTAACCGCAATTATGACAGGCCAAGAACAGTTCAATATAGCTATTTAGTCATCCTGTAAGTGAGGATGCGCCAGGAGTAGCTTTGTCATACTCACATGGGTATTAAGTTGATAATGTTGCCACTGATACAATATCCTTTTTATGCCTTCCCATGCTTATAAAAAGGCATTCTAATTTTCTAGTAACAATCACTGCAAAGGGTTATTGATGAATGAAGAGGGTGACTTTTACTGTCCTTTTTCACTCCTTTTGTGCTCAATTTAGTTGAAATAGTCAGGAATAGAACTGAAAATTTGAAAATTGTACAATTAAGAGCCAAATGAGATCAAAACAAACGCAAAAATAGTTGCAAATATTAGGAAAAATGAGACCTCATTTTATTCTTCTTGTTTTATCCTTGCTCATTCATCTCAATAGTCATAATGATGCAGGATAGTGTGACTAAAGAAAAAAGATCAAACAATAGAAACTATCTATTGATTATCACAATAATATCAAATGACAGTCTTTAAGAACTTTACTAATTCCTAAGAATACTAAGCCAAAAAGAGAACTTGTCTCTAAGTTTTAGTCAAAATAAACCAAAACTGTTGAATTAGTTTTCAACACAATATAAATAAGAAATACTAATAGTCTTAAATTACTAAAAAAACTAAACAAATACACAATATTATGAAAATACTCCAAACAACAGGATAAAAATAGAAAAATGCCTAAAAAGTGTCTTAAACATCGTTTTTTTTGGCTAAAACTCGCCTAGGTTGAAGACAAAAGACTTCAATCTTGCTTAGATCATCAAGTTCTTTCCGGAATGGAGTCTTATGAAATTTTTTTACACTATCGCCCAAAATCAACCTACTTTTGATAGTCTTGATCTGTCCAGTAATCTTCTGCTATACATTCTACATCACATTAGCATGGAGATAGAACTAGAAACTTCATTAATTCACTTTATATATAATCAAGGCAAGTAGCACAAACTTTAATGCGTCTGATTCCAAGAGAGTTTTGTTCTAACCATGAAGTCCTTTAAAGAACTTACAAGGGCATTACACTTATCAAATGAGCCATTGTTTGATAATCTTTTGAGCATGCCAAAATATGTATCTTCTATACAAATCATACGGATGATTCATTAGTTTCTTGTTTATCAAGTTCTGACTCTTCCTTGCTTGAGACTCTGTAGTAATTCGTCAAGGTCTTGCCATCCAACTCCTTCGTGAAGAATCTTGTCATGAAGTCTGAGAACATGAATTGCTGGTACATAGCTGGTTTCTCAGGCGACACTAGTCCCGGCAATGGCCCATACAACTTGTCTCTCATGCTAGGGTTGAAGAAAACTGCAATTGAGACACGCGGTTCATGAGAGGGGTTGGCCAATACACGATGCTCCACGCTTTTGTACTCATCATTGGCCATGATCTGCAAAAGAGAGTTGAGCAATTCCGTGAATTGCATTCTTTGGCAAAATGATGAAAATTCAAACAGACAAGTTGTTTGAAAATAAATAAATAATAAAATAAAATCAATTGATTGGCTAAACTGAGGAACTAAAAATTTAGAAAACATGAAATATGTAAAAAATTTCAGAAACCCAAAATTACCCATAAATACAAATATTGAACAAGCCGGAATTTAGAATATGAAAATTTAATACTTCAAAGCACGTTGAATGTTTGAAAGATGCGGTGTACTTGTTGAATTCGTGCCCAAAACAAATTGGAATAAAAAACAATGAAATGTATGAAGTGGGCAGGAATGGAGTCAGAATTTTATTTTAGTGGAGATAACCTTAAATTCTTAAATTGAAACTATAAATATGAGATTGTTTCATCAAAATGTATATTCTTAATAAAAAAAACTATGTATAGTTCTATCAAAAAAATTGTTATTTAGATGCTCAACTCATATATAAGAGCAATGTATAAAAAAATACAACAAAAAAGATTTCATATCAAAAGAACATCTATTTCTTGACTAAGAGAAAGTTGCTCTAGTGTTAATTTTCTTACAAGAAACCTATCCATAACTGATAAAAAAATAAATTTGTCTAATTAGACTCAAATTTAATAGTAGTCATTAAATTCGTAACTAATGACATAATGTACTATACATAATCAAAATATAATCCATAAATCCACAATAATATAATTCATAAATTCACAATACTTGTATGTATTTGTTGCTGAAATTTTAGATCTAGTTCCCTTGTATCTAGGCCTTGTTGTACTAAATTTTTAATTGAAATAAACAAATTTTTGGAATGGTATTTGTGTGATTCACTGCAGAAAATTGTTGTCTTGTTCATGCTTTACTTTTTGTTGAAATTAAAGTGATACACTACAGCAAAAATCAGCCACTATTTTATTTTTCTTTGAGTCTTGCTCTTGTGGTTTTGGTGAGATGATTGATACTATATACTTAAATACCAATAACCAAGTAAGTTAATTTGTTGATGATTTTACCAAGCCGATTTGTTGATGAATTTATATAAGTTTCTAAGAAATCAAAGAAATATAAGAAGTGAGGACTGATGGAGAAAGGGCATGAAATGACTGAACTCCCAAAGTTATGTTTAATGGTTTGAAAATTATACTAACCTCACCTATGCTTAATGAAAATTTTAGTGGGGTAAGATTTAGAAACTTTAGAAGTTTTTAAAAATTCATCTAGATCCCAAATTTTTAAAAATCCCAGCCAATGCTGAGCATATAAGTCCCCGGGTGAAGCTAAATGGAAAAACAAACATGAAGAAACTACGTATTTTGCTAATGGTGAGTGAGCACTCAGTTCCACTTGTAGGTGGTTGTAGGCCGTAACCTCGTCTCTCCCTTTGATGCAGAAAATTGAAAGTTGATAAATTAATAGGAGTCTTTTGATAATATTTTTGTTTTTGTGTTTTCAAAAAAATAAAAAAAATAGAGACAATTTTTATTTTATTTTGTGATAAACACTAAAAATATAAAAAGAATCATTTTTGTTTATGGGATTATGAGAATAAAAACTAAATTCATCCATAATATATTCGCAAATTCACCTAGAATATACACTCACAAAGACTCTGCTGGTTCAACACGCACACACACAGAATGCACACAGACGGGGACAGAAGAGAATTTGTTTAGGGGAAATCGAGTCACGATCAACACCCGCACACAGAAATCACTCCCAAACCCAGAAGACAACACTCACAAATGCCAAACCCGAAATCAACACCCACACACGCCCAAACCCAGAAATCCAGAAATCACGATCAACACCGACTAGCGGCCAAACCTATAAATCAACACCCCACACACAAGTCTAATTCAGACGGAGGTGCGGAAGAGGCAGCGATGAAATCAAGTCACGATCGAACAAAGCTGTGAGCGACGATTGCTGGAGAAGAGACGATCGCCGATGGAGGTCTCCGGTTTCTCGTTGAATGGACAGAGACAATGGATTGAGGAGAGACAGAGAGGCGATGGAGAGCGAGAGCGAGGTACGAATCAAAAACATCAACCAAACGCACTCTACTTATTTTGTTTTCACCATTTTGTTAGACAAAAATTATTTACCTTTTGACAGAAAACCAAGTTGTTGATCTACTTTGAACTTGAAGACTTGTGGGTAAGAACAAGTCTGGCATACAAATCGAAGAAACTAGCCCAAGAGTATTGATCACATAAAGTGAATGCTTAAAACACACATCTGTTAGACAGGGAGTCAGGACTTACCTGAAGAATATCACCAATGTTGATAATTAGACCACCGGGGACAGGGTCCACGTCAATCCAATCCTCACCAAACTTCACCTGCAACCCCGCAACCTCATTCTGCAACACTACTGTCAACACCCCGGGATCTGTATGAGATGTCAGGCCAACCGTCAAGTCCGCCTGTGGACAGTATGGATAGTAATGAGCCGCCATAGTCCTGGCATCCAAACACGACATATCTTTTAACCTATCTCTTTCCATCCCCAACCCCTCACTCAACAATCCCATCAACTCCTCTCCCAATTTTATCACCCCTCTATCCCACTCCTCTACCGCTTCCCTGCACAACTCCGGAACATAGTCCCACTCCGGAGGTGTGGGGCCTAGCCGGACCTGTAGTGTGTCCCTCCAGCTGGCAGCTTTGGACTTGTACAGATCAAAGTTGGTAGTAGAGTAGGCTACACCATGGGATGCCTCCCGAGTATAGTAATGGATTCTAGTGGTCTCTGGTAATTCGAAGAAGGCCTTGATAGATGAAAGCATTTGATCCAGAACCTTTTTGGGTATCCCGTGGTGATTATCTGGAAGAACCCATGAGTCGAAGAGGAGTGACGGATTTGATCAACCACCGCTGATCGGTGGCCGGAGAGGTCGATGATGGGGATCGAGAGTTTGGATTTTTGGGTTTTGGGTTTTGGGGTGGGTAGGTTTTCAGGGGGGTGGTGGAAGAAGCGAGGGATGGCGGTGAGGCCGGTGTCAACTAGGCCTTTGACACCAATCTTGGATTCATCGAACTGCTTTATTTCTTCAAGTCTGTCATAGTGGTGGTCTGTGTTGGTGTTGATAGTGGTAGCCATTTCTATCGTCTTTCTCTCGGTAGCATAAAGACGAAAACTGTTCCTGCTTAGTTTGTTCTTTCGTTTGGAAAAGAAATCAGGGGAAATGATCGCCGCTGATGGTTGGGGTGGGAGAAGTTGGTGGGTAAGGGAAGGCCGGCATAGTCAAATGTTTGAATTCTCAATTTATAAAATTAATGTTAAGATCCTTTATTTATTTTAATCTAATAACATTAAATTCATCTAAAAATTATTATTTTTTATATATAATTTATAATATAAAATATGACAAATTTTAATAAGTTCATCCGATAATCTTAAATAGACTCATCAAATGGCCATTAATATCACTTTTCAAATCATTCATATTACACCGTACTTTTAAATACAATTTATCCTTAGTCCCTAATATTAGATACCTCAATTAATAGATCGACACACTTCTCAATACCAAAAATTTCATAAATTCAAACTTCCCTTTCTTTTCTCTCTCTTTATTTTAACTTTAAAATACATAATTTAAAAATTAAATTATTAATTAAAATATAAATATTATAAAATTAAGTTTAATTTTTTTATATTATATAGTATTTTAGAAACAAAGTTATTGCTATTATATATAATAACTAGTAATAATTCGTACTTGAAGACACGATAAAATATAAATTTGAGCGTCCAAAAAATCGATCAAACTATATTAAATTTTTTCAAAATATATTAACTACAAATTATAATTAAATATTAAATAATTAAATATATGATAGAAACGAATGATGTGATATTTTTAAGGAGAAAAATATATAAATGATTAAACATGTAATAAAAATGAGTGATACAATTTGACGTTTGAATTTGACAAAGAGATGATAGGTGAGATATGTAATTGATAATAATTTTGAAAAAAAAAAATTATTAAAATAAAATTAAACACACTTCTATTTTATTATAAAAATTATTCATCGTCTGGGCGTTACTCTTTTGGGGCGGACAAGAGGGGAAGGCGCTTTCTAGATACGAAATAGAAAGAAAGACTTCCATAAAAAACAAGGACGATTACTCTCTGATATGGACGGCTGTTGACTATTGAGGTTTTACAAACTTGAAACTTCGACGAGAGACAGAAAAAGAGAGACAGAGAACAACCAAGCCACGATCAACTATCAATAAAAGGTTCTATTGATATGCTTAAACGGAATCTGGTCCTCAAATTTGGATTTTTGTTGTAAATCCCCACATGCCTCTTTTTTTATATAGTAAAACAATTATTTTGAAATATTCATATATGTAAATGATGTAAGTATAAATTATATAGTCGTAAGAGTAGAAATAAAAATGTTATGCGAGATAATAGGTTGTGTAATAGCAGTTAAAAAGTATTCTAGAGTAATGAATATTATAGATAGAATTTGAGTAGGAAAGAATTTGACACTGTCTTAATATTTGGATCACAACTTTTTACTCCGATGTTCATTTGATCTGAATTTTTTTACAGTAGACATTAGATTTCCAGGACTACAAAAGTGTATTTTATGAAAAATTTTCAAATCGACCTTTAAATAGGGCAAAATTTCTTTAAAAATTCAGCTAACAATGGAAGTTCGTTCGAACGTGAGGATCCGTTCGAATGACAGTTAGTCCTAGTACTTTTGTGTCTTACATAAATTTGATGGAAAAACAAAAATACTGGGAGCAAGCAACGTTCGAATGCCAAATGACATTCGAACATCAAGCCCTAGTTCGAACGTATGAGTATCAGATTTGCACCAATTGGACTGTTTTCTTATCCTATAAATACCCAATGATGTTTTCCTTAGCCCTATTTCATCATCTTAACCCTAGAGAGCTGAAAAGCAAGAAAAAGAGGAGAAGAAAACACAAGATTAAGGGAGAATTTTCACCGTGAGACGGATCAAATACGCTATTTTTTCACACAAAAAACTAACGGAATCGATATAAGATAATTGCTGTCTTGAGTTTTTTATGAAACTAGGGTATAATTATGTATGTTTTCAATCTCTTGATAATTATATGATAGATACATATGTTCTTGGTTT